GTGAGCCGAGATCACCCCACTGCACTCCAGCCTGGATGACTGATTGAGACTCCGTCTCAAAAAAAAAAAGTTTTAAAAATTAAAAATAGGTGCTCTGTAACTGTTGACACACTCTGTGAAGGGGGTTGCTCTGAGACCCCTCTGCCCACAGGTCCATCTTGAGTGGTCTCTTCCCACCCAGTGGTGGCTCTGCATTCATCCTGGGCCACGACGTCCGCTCCAGCATGACCGCCATCCGGCCCCACCTGGGCATCTGTCCCCAGTACAACGTGTTGTTTGACATGTGCGTCTCGGCAGGCCCAGAGTGCAGTGGTGGGAAGGGGCTGGACGCCCTCTGGGACTCTGCCTGCCACGTGGGTCACTCTGCTCTGTGCACTGGCCACAGGCTGACCGTGGGCGAGCACATCTGGTTCTATGGGCGGCTGAAGGGTCTGAGTGCCGCTGCGGTGGGTCCCGAGCAGCACCGTCTGCTGCAGGACGTGGGGCTGGTCTCCAAGCAGAGTGTGCAGACTCGCCACCTCTCTGGTGAGCCCAATCCCTAGGGAGGGGGGCTGGGGGAATCTCACAGGGAGGGGGGCTGAGGGAAGCCAGATATTGAGGTCCACGTGGGTAGGCAGCCCTGCCCAAGGCTGGGTGCAACACACTGAGGTCCCTTCCCCATCTCTACCAGGTGGGATGCAACGAAAGCTGTCTGTGGCCATTGCCTTTGTGGGCGGCTCCCAGGTTGTTTTCCTGGATGAGCCGACAGCTGGTGTGGATCCTGCTTCCCGCCGCGGCATTTGGGAGCTGCTGCTCAAATACCGAGAAGGTAAGAGCTGGGGATTCTGCTTGAGGGGCCAGAAAAGGTTTCTGACAAGGAAGTGCTGGGGATGGGGTTTTGAGGAGTGAGTAGGAGTTTGCTACATGTGGACCCCACTTCTTGCTATGGCATTTAGGGGCTGCTGCTCAAATACCAAGACAGTAAGAGTTGGGGGTAGCCAGAGGTTCCCCTGGATTCTGCCTAAGGGGCCAGAAAAGGTTTCTGACAAGGAGGTTCTGGGGATGAGGTTTTGAGGGACGAATAGGAGTTTGCTTCATGGGGCAGACAACTCCTGGCAGAGGCCTCAGCTCGGGCAAAGAGCCGGTGGCCTGATGGTAGTTGTGGGTTGGTTCCCCATGCCTAGGTCGCACACTGATCCTCTCCACCCACCACCTGGATGAGGCAGAGCTGCTGGGAGACCGTGTGGCTGTGGTGGCGGGGGGTCGCTTGTGCTGCTGTGGCTCCCCACTCTTCCTGCGTCGTCAACTGGGCTCCGGCTACTACCTGACGCTAGTGAAGGCCCGCCTGCCCCTGACCACCAATGAGAAGGTGGGGACCAGCCTTCTCCTGACCCCTGACCCCTAGGACTCTGTTCAGCCCTGAAGGCCAAGTCACTAGGTGCCTCTCTGCCCGCAGGCTGACACTGACATGGAGGGCAGCATGGACACTGGGCAGGAAAAGAAGAACGGCAGCCAGGGCAGCAGAGTCGGTGAGGGCCGGGGTGGGAGACCCAGAGCAGGTGGGCAGTGGGGTGGCTGTGCCTTAACTTGAGGAGGAGGAAGGGGAGGGGGAGGA